AGACCCACAGCTATGATCTATTAAACAATCACAATATTAAAAGGATGCGCTAACTGATAAACATAATGCAGATAAGATAATCATCAGCTTAACTAGTGGCAATTATTATTTAATTTATATGCACAGATATTGTGGTTATCTTGATTCTGTGATGTATTTAAAACGCTCAGGCTGGATAATCAAAGCCATCCACCCGACAGGAATTCTTCCCCAAAAAGCTATTTGATAGCCAAAGTAGTCTGAACACATTTCTTTGAGTTTAAAATATGCAGCGCAGCAAAGCTTCTGTGTCTTTAGATTTTATAATGTAACTTTTGGCAAACATTGGTTTTCAGTCCATGCCAGGGAGGAATCTTCTAGCATGTTCAAGTTTTTGACCAGAACTCAAGCCCTGTAGCCTTGACAGCAGCAGAACATGTTGCTGCTGCAGCATGAGAATAAACTGCTCACCTGCTTTGAGTTTACAGCAACAGGGGAGAAGTGTGTGTGGTATGCAATTAATTAAGATTTCAACCAAAGTAATTTGTTTCGCTAACAGCAACACAAACGTTTTGTTTGCATACAACCCTATAAAACTCGGATGCCCCCATACATCGGACAAATAGGAGACTCTTTCCTTTGCACACCTACACGTTCCATGAAAAGCCATTACAAAGCCTTTTGTTCACAACACTTTGAGTCAGTCTGGGCAGCATTTTCAAAGGCACCGTTAGGTGTAAAGATTTGAATCTGCATTGAACGGACTTGTCTATCCATAGCGTTACCTCAGACAGATTCCACTTCAGAAGGAGTCGGGGGTGGATGTTGCTGTTGGCAAACAATATGGGATATAAAGAAATGATTGGGTTTCATAGACAACGCTGCATGGAAAGAGAGTCGGAGGCATATAAATGAGATAAATACCACATGCAAAAGATACGGCTTCAGCGATGTTGGAACAATACAAATAATTCGATCAAACGAGTGCCAATATCTTGAGGGTCCATTCTGAGAGGCAGCAGACATTTAAATTGGAGATTCTGTATTTCCTGGACCGAGTGCAGACACTTTTTTTTTGAGAAATCCAATCCAGCTTCAGTTCGATTCATGCCTGTCGGGGTTGTCCGCTAATTGGTAACTTTGAAGACGGCCAGATGCTCACTATATCAATCGGAAATTATCTGAAACTCAAAGGTAATTAATGAACAGATCAATGACATGTTTTTTCAATGAATTTGATGATGTCGGAGGGACACTGGTTTCACATGGCTCCACTGTTGCTTCTAGCATCAGTGTACAGCTAGTCTGCACATTCTCTAATAAATCAGGCTTTTCTTAGTCACTCACTTGACTTTTCAGTTGCCGTGTGAATAGAATATTAACAGGAACTCGAGGTAATTGCAAAACAGATCAATGAAACTTCAAAAGAATTAACAGCAAGGGTTTACGCTTAAAGAACAAAATCTGTTTTTATAATTCCTTTTTAAATGAGTACTATGTCATTCCCATCACTTGATATCGCACTCGGAGGCTGAGGTCTCGGGCTGAGGTCTCGGGCGTATATTCGCTCATTGTTTCTGATTTAACATTAGCAACACCGAGTCAACCTTTTGACTTTCTTTTTCTTTTTGAAGTAGTTGCCTGGTCATTCAATCAGCAAAGTGGCTCAGCCATGAATAGATTACCCTTGTCCAGACCCGTGACACATTAACCTTGACAACACTCCCTAAACAGAATGTTATCTATTGACCAGGTCACATCTCAAAGTGATGCCCCTCTCTGCCATGCCGTGAATAATTCATGCGAGATGGGGTGAGAAAGCAAGTCGAGGCTGGGCAGCTTCCCTCCAATCCATAGGCAAAGTGTACATATAGCACTCTCATCCTTATAGCTATTGATTATGTGCCACGTTGTCCAGCAGCTTGGCAATAGATTGCAGACAAAATAGACAACAAGACACCCCGAGTGTCCAAACTTGTTAAGTGTTGACTGTGGAAGAGGAAGGTCAGGGGTTGGAAGGGAGGCGAGCTGGAGGATTGAAAAGACCTTCGCGGATGGAAATGAACACGGCGCTCTCATTCATATGTAATACATGGATTCCTGGGAATAATAGCTTAATCAGCCCACGTCTCTCAGTGTGCGGGAAATGAGGAAATTTGGTGATGTGCAGAATGACGGACCCTTATAGGTAGGATTTGTCTGTTACACCTTAATCCATTAGGAAAGTCTCCTGCCTCAACTGTAGTAAAGCCGATTTGGAGCCCGCCGATAACATCAGGGAGGTGGCAGTTCTCAGCGGGAAACGGCTCTGCTGATACGCAGATATTCTGAGAGCATGTGCACGCTGACATTCTGAGGATTATTTCCAAAACTCCGGCAACTTGAACTTTGATGGACAATTAATATACGCTTTCACTTTCAGATGCAAATTTCCAAATTTCCCCATTTTTGTTGCATGTTTGGATTTCTCTGGAGGCAGCATAATGTCTTCCCTCAAATGAACCCAGGCGGAGCCTCATTTAGTATGGGTTAAACTGAATAAAATGTGTTAAATAAAGACTGCTGTGCAAGGGCTTTGCATATGTGGACAACATCGTGTCTCAAGTCATTTCAGAGAGATTAACATTTGTGAAAATCCTTGTCACATGCTGTGTTAGGTTCATGCATAATGAATTGCATTTGCTTCCTGGGCCCTGTTGGAAAGGGTGTCATGACAATTTCCCGTCCCTGAATATGTCAACACTTACATTTCCATTATTAACCTGCTGCTCTCATCACAACTAATGGTTTTCCCATATTAATTATTTACATCCTGATTACTAATGCCAATAATTCTCTTCTCAATCTTCTTTTCTGGCTTCCTACTGCACGATCAAACCAAAGCCCAGGCCAGGCTTCCAGTACTTTAGCAGCAGTTCTTAACTATGGGAATATTAATAATCTATTAGCCAGTATTTGTTGTAGTTGCCAATGTGAAAGTCAAAGTTTGAACAGTAGTTTGTCCCTTGTGACGAGAAACAAAATACTTGAAAGGACAGACTTTTCAATTTTATTTGAGCTATACCTGTATAGTATTTACCCTCCATTTAGCTAAACTGCTTGACATGTTCTTTTTGCCTTAATTTGTTTACATTTTGGCAAATTGGCACCATTAAAGTACACATAGAGACACCTAGAGACACCTAGATCACTGGAATACTCTGATACTGAAGAAAACTTTAAAAAACGTGACGATTCTCAGGCACGTGCTGGAGTTTTTAACGCATGGAAAATAATTACATCCTCAGAAAGTGTACGTCACACTGAATTTAAGGATTTGAATATCATGTCTGCATGTTTAGATTTCAGTTATGACTCTGAAACGGGAGGACTAATGTTGACACAAATTGCGTCTCAGCGTCTCTCATCCCCTCAACCGGCCCGTGCCCCCCTGCAGAGGTGCGTCTCACAGTTTGAAAACCTCTGATCTCGAAAGATGTGGACATACGAACAAACGTGAGCATTAATATGCTACTACAACAGCCTCCACTCCTCTGGGAAAGCTTCCCACAATTTTTTTTTCAGAGAGAATCCCTGCAGCCCCAAAAGCAACAGTGAGGTCGGCCAGTGGTGTCGGGTGATGAGGCCTGGCTCTGAATCAGTGTTCATCCCAAATGTGTTGGATGATGCCGGGCGCTCTATGTGGGCCTGTCCAGTTTTCTCACACCAAACTGTAAAAACTATTTCTTTGTGCATGTGGACATTGTCATGTTGAAACAAAAAAAAATAAACTGAAAATCCCTTTTTAACTATGTGGCATAAATATCACTGTATGCTGTAAAGTATTACGATTTCTGAGGGGTTTAGAGCCCGAGCCATGAAAAGTAGCTCCAGACCAATGACTAAGATGTATGTAGGTTTGTCCCAATGTTGTTCAGGTAAACCACCATGTCCTTGAGTGGGAAAGGGTTACAAAAACAACAAAGCACATATTCTTGTAAAAGATCTCTTGCGAGTTTTGGCCAGCACCTTTTTCCTGGCCACCCATTTCTATTTAAGTATATGTAATTACAAACTCGGTGTGCTCCTAATAAGCACGGAGAGCCAAGTGGCACAATGACAAAAGCGAACTTGGCTAATCCCCACACACACTGTTCTGATTTCTCTCCCCCAGCCTGCTTTCTTCCAGGTTCGACGAGCCTTTCCTATAGCGTGCAAAATCTTAAAGTGATTTACACTCCCCGCCATAACATCCCACCTTATCAACAATGCTAACATGGCAACCTGTGCAATCTCTTCGTTTTGAAATTACAAGTGTGGTTAGAATGACTTCTAGACATGCTGGAGCTTTTTTCTTTTTTTGCTGACTCTCGCCGCACACAAACTGAAAAATGTGCACAGGATGCAGGAGTGAAAATGCTGTGAATGGACAATCATGGCTGTGGTGTGCTGCACAATGCAAATTAATTCACCAGTCAGTGAAATCCAGACCGATGCAGACAGTAGGAGAGCGCAAGATACATTTCCAGTAGCTGGGAGGATGAGCTCACTTTATGTTTGCTCTTTTAAGGCCAAAATGTTAAAGTCACAGTGTTGCCCTGGAAGTCCTTGAGTGATCTACTGAGAGGGCAGGAGAAGACAAGGAAGACTATTCTTACCTTAATCATTCAATTTTATAGGTTTTCTCAGGCAGTCCTGCAGATTTTTTTTTGTTGTTTTTTTTGTCAACACCATTATAGAGGTCTGGTTATTTCATTTACCAAACTGACAGTCACAGCTGAGACCATCTCACTGTGTAATAACAAAAAACCTTTCTTGCCGTTTCTCTGCTTACAATAGATTCACTTTTGCTTCTAATGGTGTTGGTTCGATAAGAATGTCTGCTGCAGCAGCGAGCCTGATTAATAAAAGGTATTATTCAAAACACATCGCCGGAACATCAACCGCAGGGACGGAGTCGGGGAAATGAAAATGGGTGGGAGGGTAAGGTAAATGGCAAACAGAGGGGAGACGGAGAGGTGAAATACGGCATGTTGTTGTACCTGGCTTCAGGAAGGAGGTTGAGGAGCAGGAGGAAGATCCACAAGCCCAAGTCCAGTGGTTTAGGCTTCCAAAGTGCAGCAGCCATATCCGTTTAAAGAGAGGAGTCCTGTAGAAAAGACAGAGGAGGCAGAGAGAGACGATGTCATACAGTATTCACTGACAAACATTGACTTGTCACGAGATATGACGTAAAAATGTGTATAACTTAACAGGTACATGAAGAAGTGATGAACATCAAATGATTGACAAATTCATACTTTATTTCTAATCATTATTTAAGCCTCAATTATGGAGCGCCACCCTACTTAACCTGCCTGCTCTTATCTGTGTTTTATTTTTACCAGCTCTGACAGTGTCTCACTGGTATTGTTTTCAGCTTGTGCGTGTGTGTATGTGTGTGTGTGTGTGTGTGTGTGTGTATTTGTGTCTGTGTGTCATCACGGCAAAATATGGTCCTGGAGAGATACCTACTGTAGCGGGAACGACTGTTTGCAAGGTGGTTACACTTCTGTCTGTGGACATATTTCATGACCGTGATTGGGTCATAACAATAGACTGTATATAAGAGGTGGATGTAGTCCGCGTCAAGTTAGCCATTGGTATCTGGACCGCCATTTTGAAACCTCGAGTTTTGCATTTTTCATTGGATTTTTGGCCGTCGCCATCTTGTTTTTCTGCAACCAGCAAACGGAGGTAACCCTATTTGGACTGCGAAGGAATGACGTAGGGATGCCGTATCCGGCTCTGGTAGAGGAACTGTCAATCACGAGGTAGCCACACCCTAAAACATACTCTGCTTTATGGTCCATTTGACTCTAAATGGACCATAATTTACTAAATAAACATCCCGCTGTATTGAGGAAGACTTGAAAATAGCGATTGAGACCATAAACTCATGTTTACAATGTTTACTGAGAAGTAGGGTCATTTTCTTATTGACTTTCATACACCTAGCCTACAAATCATTGTAGTGAAAGGATAGATTGCTTGTTTGAGTTTAAAATGTTACTACTAAGATATGTACTGCACTCACATATTCTTCAGTCCATAAATGTCAGTGAGCAGTGGACATTTTTCATAACTTGTGTGGTGATATTTGCTGTTTGTTGTCTGGCTGTGTGGAGGAAACCATCTCCTCTCAGTCTCTGCTGATTATTTGAGATAAACAGCCAACAGCTATCTCATATTAGGCAAGACATCCGCTCTAATTCATATTTAGTTTTATTATTTGGCTCCTCGGTGGGATGAAAATGTATTATGATACTCAAGCCCGTCAGCAGCCACGGAGCCGGTTCCTGCTTCATTCAATCAGCTCAAGATGCAATCCATTTTATTGTGTTTGCCACACAGTTGGCAATTGGTAATTTCCATTTTTAATGTAACTTAAAGATATTAAATGTTTCACTTTGTGGTAGATCATCTTTTGTTCTTCATGATTTCATTCTTTATGCTTTTCTTCCTTTAGTCTTTTGGTAAAATTTGTTATGTATTCAATTATTTTGAGGTATTTTTCTAGGTCTAGGGAAGGGTTTTAAAACATTAACAATAAGCCTTTCTTTAAAAGTAAAGCATAAGGTACAGGCCCCCCTCCCCACACTAATCATTTTGGCACAGTCCCTAACTTATCCTTACCTATAGCTTCAACTCTTACCATCACAGATGCTCCCAAGATTCTGAGCAGCACACTCGACCCAATTTGACCCAAAAAAACTTCCAGGATTATACGTCACATTAAAACACAATATACCGCAGCACACAGTCTCCTTCTTCCTTATGTCTCCACTCAATGGCCGTTGCATAGCGACTGGATTCTAACACTGTAATCATTGGTAATTATGACACGGCGGTTTCAGTATGGACGTTTACAGAAAGATGAAATGACCTCTCATGACAAGTACATGAGTGCAGCCTGAAATCACCAGGGAGATGAGGGGAGGAAAAGGAAGCTAAATGTCTGCAACGGCCGCTGGAGTGCGCACACACACACAAACACACACACACACACACACACACACACACACACACAAACACACACACACACACGTGTAAAGCAGCTGCGTCTTACTTGAAAGGCTTTCATTGTGCTTTTGTGAGAATCAGCCCCCCTTTCATTGACGCCGTATGGAGAGGGGAGATCAAACGGCTTCCTCTGGGGTAGCGGTGTTCTGGGTGCCACTGTGAGGCACTGATCATTACAGGAGGAGTAAACAATTGAAGACACGCTTCAGGTTAGCGTTCAAACTAAAAAAAAATGCTGTGACCGTCCTTCTACACTATGTTTGTGATCCCTCCGAGTGAAACCTCTTTTTTTTTTAAAGAGCTGTGTTGATATCGATTGTGGCTGAGCATCAAGTGAAAGATCCACATCTAATAAGTCTTCGCTCAGGCAGTGATGCTTGTGAGAAAATACTTCGACTTACCAGCCAATTGTTTTCAAACGTGTATTTGGGTATGTGTGGTTAGAGCTGCTGATTTCTCTGCAGTTTGTAACCCCACAATATTTTGAGAGGAGCCAGTTATAAGAACTTTGTTTCTGTAAAATGAAGTGATACTTTCATGTCACTGCTTTTGGTATTTAGCATCTTCACAAGTCTTACCTTCGTATTGTTTTTTAAATTGTGCATGAAACATCTTGCCGGTTTCAATCCATGCCCTTACTGGGGATTTGACAGTAACCAATATACATTGACACACTGCTTCATAAATCCAATGGCCATGAGGCGTTATTGATGTAAAGATATTTACAGTCATCGTTATCAACCTGCGTGTGAGTGTCCTCGTTGCCATAAATATAGCAGCCATCCATCTATTTTCCCCCCTTTTGGCTGAGAAATACTAAAGTGGGTTACTTCTGTAACATGGGACAGAGATCATGATGGTCCCAGTGAGAAAAATGAGCAAACATTGTGAAGTAAGCCATGTAATCTTAGCTATAACCTGAATATGAGAGTATCCAGGTTTTTAAAATTTTTCTTTTACATGCTTTCACCATAAACTGAGTTTCTTGAGTGGCCGCTTTTTTGCAAATTGCAAATGTTGCCAATTAAACAGAGTACAGTTTATGCAGATTACCTTATATTTCCTAATTTCAGCCCTCATCTCCCTTTCAACAGATGACAAGCTCAAGGGCAGGCCAAGTCCCAGACTGTGTCGAATTAAACCACTCTCGTGTTGCTCGACAAACGCTGGTAAACAACAGACAGCTGACTTCCTAGATTTGTTTCCCCCTTGTGTGAATATCATAGTAGGCATCGGTGTTATCAACCTCCTTTCTTCCCCTCTTTCCTTTCTCTCTCTGTACATTTTGCAAAAGCGGAGTTTCGTGTTTAAACCAATTCTGGATCCATTAAACATTTTATGTTCCTCCATGAAAACTACTGGATGCCCTCAGGCGTCAGAGGTGTCATTTCCTCGTCTTAATGTCCGTCTGAAAATTACATCGCTAATTTCCTGACCTATCGCCACCTATTCAAGCCACTTCCACTCACGCGAAGTGTCGTCTTTGCTCATCTCGTCTTCATGTGTCCTGGATGAATAGATCTTTTGAATGTACTCGTTCTCTCCTCCCAATGTTCAGTCACAACACAGTGTTTCAACACCGATGGTCTTTATAGTTTGTAATTGAATGGTCGGGTGAGTTCTCATTAAAGAGATGCAGCACAGAGACTAGCGGACTCTAATAATGTGCTCAGTAAACAAGAAAAGTAAAGTTTCAAAGGACTAAAGAAATAAAAGCCAAGAGTTAAATTATTCTCATTAGTCACTCCATAAACTCTATCGCCCGATCTTCTATAGGATCTGTTCTGTTCTGTTTGTTCAGTACATGTTTCCTTAACACGAGCAGCAATTAGAGCAGCAGTATCATCATCCAGAAAGCTTACTAGGCAGCACTCTTACAAGTGTCAACAAATTCTTTCCATTAAAAAAAAAAAAGACAAACGGGCATTAAAAGACGGGCGTGCCGGCCGTCGTCCACAATGCTGCACCCGATATACAAATACCTGTCATGCAAATGAGGGGCTCAGTGCATCAGCGGTCCCCTGAGCTCGGATTGTGCTTGAAACATGAAGGAAAAGGGAAAAAAGACACGGTGCTTTTGTTGGCAAATTAAAAATAGCTTGCCTAAGGTGACAGTAAAGAAACTCTCCATTTCCACACTCTTCCAACATTTGTTTTCAATTCTGTCAGTTGTTTTTTTTCTTCTTTTTTTTAATGCAGTGAGTAATGTAATCACGTTTGACAGAATTAAAAAGGCTCTGAATGTTTTTGATGCAAATTAGCTGAATAATCTGACTGGATGACTATGCCGTGAGGTTTGTTCAATAATACAGATAATAAGTGGTAAAATAATAAGTGGCAGGGCCTAGTTTGCTTTTTGAAAGATGTCAGTTGGGGACAATTTAGTTGAGTTATTTTCATGGTTTGGCAGTCAGTTGACATCTAAAGGGAACTGAAATGTCGTATTGTAGAGTTAATTGTATGCTTTCAATGCAGGTAAATCCCCAGTGGTGCAGCTACTGCACAGGGAGTCAAAGAGCAGCTAAAGACCTCATCAGCCAATAAGCACTGACTGCAGTAATTGTTGAATTTAGGACACAGCTCTATAGTCACGTAATCCAAGTGGCTGTTGACTAAAAATAGCCCTAAATCCTGTCACATTTGGTTTGATGTGACAGTCTAGCGCCGAGAATCGAGCAGTGATCTTTGTGGTCTGAAATTCAACAACATATTTAAAAAATACATTTTTTAACTGCACCCACTGTGGTGGAAAACACTTCTATTCAGTATGACAGTCTGTCAGTCATTTCTGCACTTACTTAGGCTACTACAACTTTTTCAGTCAATACCGATAATTACCTGCTTCTCATGGCAGATACTGACAAGATAACTGATAATAGCCTATCAGACGTTCTGCTGGTAACCCAGGGTAGGCAGTTTTCAGGAAAAGGCAAAATGCACGTACGTAACCCGTACGAGTAGTCGTTCATTTTAAACATTGTTCTTCATACAGTAACCTGTACGAGTACTAGTTGTTCATTTCAAACACCGTCCCGATTGTGACCGTCATCAAGTCGCCTGGTCCAACTTCACAGCCGCGCTCTGTAC